TGATCTAGCACCCCATTGGAGAGTGGATCAATCTACATTTGGAACCCAATCCAATCCAATCATCAACCCCACAACAACAACTTATAACATTTCATGGTGTCAAGCGGTGGGATTACCTCGTGGTTAAGTGCAGTGTTGAGTGTGCTGTGAGTGTCGAGCAAGAAGCTGAGTAGCAGAAATTTTGCACCCGGCGCTGCAGCAACAGCTGAAAACCAGCAGGATCAGGACTGGCACAAAGTATCAGAGGCATTAAAGGTGGCGGCATACCAAATAACACCGTGAGAAAGGCGACTCTACGCAGAGGGACAAGGACATACTCTCCCCAAATCGACGCAGACTTCTCGATTAAGGCTCACTCCCCAAGTAAGAAAAACCAATCCTTCTTTTGGCAAAACTACACATCCAGACCAGAACATCATAGTCTTCAATTTTTTTTAGATTTTATTTGTCGATTAGAATATAAATAATAATATTTTGTCAATTTGAATTTTTTTTCAAGTATTAGGATTTTGGTTGTATTTGGGTAACATTTTTGTAACAATGGGTAGTTCGATTATTGTTTACACCACTATTATTTTGTTGACTTCACATATCACACGTCAAGGTTAAGTTCAAGCAAATATTGTTAGCTAAGCATTTTTTAACAAAAACAATTACGAACATTGCCAGGTCCGAATTTCATAACAGAAATATTTCAAAGTAAAATAATTGTAAAGATTAGTAACAAAGTCATCAAGTAATAATATAAAAGACTCATAAAGTAATATTGAAAAGTTAGTGACTCTAGTTAATGACTTTGAGTATCTTATCAAGAGTAAATTTACATCTGTTTATCTTTTTATAACGTCGCAATTTTTAATGTGGCTTTAAATGCCAGTATCAGGGCGAAATGCCTAAAGGATTTAGTGTAGCCATTGTGCTACTTTTCAGGCGATAGTGCCAATCTTTTATTTCAGATAGCCTAATATTAAATTGTTCAAAAGAAACAATAGGTATCTGACAAATAAATAATTAATAAGGGTAGGAAAAACCCGAATGGAGACTCGTAAAACCGCGAGATCTTAAATATATTTGACGTAATTTTGATGACTTATAAGAGACTCATGAATCCGCGGGAACGAGTCAATAAAATCTTTCAAATAAATTTTATTTCAATATTTTCATTGTTAGAACCAAAGCATGCTCATCGATTATATTGATAATATTAAATATTGCATGAGAATAAATTCCAACTATTAATGTTGAGTATAGAAATAATTTTAAAATATTACATAAGAATGAAATTTTAATCTTGAATATTACATTAAATGAACTTTGAAGTTTGGTGTGAAAATAATTGAACTTGAATATGCAAATTTTAATAATAATTAAATTTAATCAACTGCCCATACCACAAAATGTTACAGAAATGAAAGGGATAAATTTAAATTAATGTCAATAATAGCAATGTAACTATCCCCATAGAACAGAATTATAAATTGAAAAAAAAAAAAAAAAATAGGAAAATAGAAAAAGTCCATGTTTGAATTATTGATACTAAATGATTTCATTTTAAATTCAATTCAATTTGTTGGTGCTATATTGAACGAAAAGTATTTCCTAAATTTTCTCTACAAATATAATAAATTTTATTTTGAAAATTAGTAAGCGATTGAGTAAATTTGTTTCTATTATAGTAATTGCATAAATTAACGATAATAATATCTTTCCTAAATATTTTTATAATTGTTCATACTAAATGTAATTTCGATTATTTGCGTTAATGGTATAAGAAGTTTTATCGTATTTCTATTTTGAAACTTGAGTAAAGAAATATCACGTAACATTCGGTTTCAAATTTTAACGAGACACGCTTATGATGTAGTAACTTCATTTTATTCACTATTTATGCAGATTTTTTCAACAAGTTTTTTTTTTATCGAGAGCAAGAAGAATTTGAATTTTATAGATACAGAATTTCATTTAGAAATCTGCGAAGGGTAAAAAGAAAAAAGGGTTATCTTCATCTAGCATTCATTCTTAGAACTTCGCGTATCATTTTATGTAAAAGTTAGTAACCCGGCTTTCGAGCGGTCTAACGCCAAAACAGACGATATCGCAGTTCAGAATGATACTATTTCAATTCAATTAATATTTATTCCCTGCAATCGCGAATCATTTTTACGTTGATAAAGTTAGTAACCCGGCTTTCGAGCGGTCTAACGCCAACATCGTAGATATCGCAGTTCAGGATGATGTAGTTTAAAATTTGGCTTTTGATGACTATTAAGGCTCAAAGGTAAAGTCTGTGCAATAAATGGCAAAATTACCCTTCTAAATATAATAATCCCATTATTTTACTATTTTTTATTATTAAAATTTTATTAATTTTAAAAATTAATATTAAAAATTTATATAATTGTACATGATTGTACATTCGATCAATTGGGTAACATATTGTAAGAAGATTCATCATATCATGTAACATGAACGATACAAATTTCAAAATATTAATTAACTTAATTTTTTTATGATTTATTTTTGCGAACTTTTGAATTTTTATGAATCTTGACGTTTATACAAAAACTTTGTTTCTGTAATTATCTGAAAATTTGAGTATATTTCTAACTTTCAGCATATTTATATCAATTATAATACCAATAATTTGAAATTTTACTTTTTGGTTTATTGAATTATTCTTCAAAAATTTTAATACACTCGTGATTATGCATTTAATTAATAATAAATAACAATGAATTTCGAGCGTTCAAATATAATAAGACCAACAACAAAAATAGAATTTTTATCACCTTTAATTATTTATTCACTTATAACAAAAGTAATTTGATGAGTAGTATCAATAATTCATATGGAAACAAAATATAGAAAAAATATATATAAGAATATATTTGTATCAATTATTCGGAAATTGAATGGCCACTCATTTTTTATTAATATTGACATTCTAAACATGATAATTTCAATTTAATATTTTTATTGTATATTTAGAATGTTCAAAATAAAAATTTGAAAATAAAAGTTAAAATCAAGAGGGCCTACAGAAATGTATTAATGTAGAAGTATGTGACAACACAAAATTATTAGATTACAAGACGAATTATCACTATCTTCCATTTCTATCTAGATGTAATGCATCAGAATGGCAACAAGTGTGCAAGCTATTTTTTAAAATTTTCGAAGATTGATGCAGGATTCTCATATAGTTAGAATTCAGTTATAATCGCGCGATTTTTAAACATCCTATTAGAAATATTGAACTGAATCTGACACAGAGTATTTTGATCATATTTTAAATTCGAATCAAATAAATAGATTATCATACAAAATTAAACAATTTAATATAATATTAAATTTGTGAAAAGAAAGAGAGATCTTGCACCTTGTTAATATTCTTATGCAAATAGAAAAATTGTTTTTATTATTTTATCGAAACTAATTAATGATAGTGATAATGGATCAAATAATTAATTTTTAAATTTTTAGAAGTTTTATTGATGTATATAAATCAAATAGGTCACAACTTCGTTTTTGTCTACTAATCATTTTAAAGCAGTCACACAAATTATGCAACTATGCGAATTCATATGGTATTAGATTGCTTATAAGAATATCCGAATAATGTAACTAATTATTGTTTATAATATTTTGCTGTATTATCAAAATCCTACTTTTGAAATTAAACAAGCTGTTTAAACTAAATCAAAATAATTTTAATGAACTATTAAAAATCACAATATGCAGCAAAGTATTACAACAATATTAGATTTTTTTTATGTTAATTTTTTTACCAATATTACCATCAGAATTGTTAACTAATTATTATATTGCAGACATAGTACAAAATTTCATACTTTTACTTTTTCATATTTTGCAAATTTTCAAATTTTTCTCTCTTTTGCTATAATCAATTGTACCATAGGTTACTATTTTTCATTTATCGAGGACGATAAATTGTTTTAGAGGGGAGGAATCCCAAATAAATTGTAATTTCTTTGTTTTTTTTTTCTTTTCAATTGTTAGAGGACTAACAATATTCTTTAGGGGTGGCGTGTTCTGTAATAACATGATCATACGTGCTTTTAATAAAAATATGAATTCATTGTTCAATGTTGATCAAAGTCCAAGATCTTTACATGAACGCGGAAGACGCCATTCCTAGAAATGACACGTACAATGCATAATATATAGAGTCAGAATTATTTGTATTAACCAGTGATGTCTTAGTCGAGACTCTAGCAGTGATGTCTTAGTCTAGACTCTAGCTAGTGATGTCTTAGGAGAGATTAGAGAGTATGTCTTAGCACGAATCTATGCTAGTTTGTGATGTGAAGTTATTAAAGATTAAATAAAGTTATAGTCCAAATTAGATTCAGTGTTTGTATTCTACTTTGCGTAAAGACATCTTTCAGCCTATACCAATATAAAGTGCTCACGGTTCTGAGGAGACTCATACCAGTGTTGTTATTTTCTATTATAAACTATAAGCTCTGCCCACGACACCAGAACAAGGTTGGACTGATCTAGCACCCCATTGGAGAGTGGATCAATCTACATTTGGAACCCAATCCAATCCAATCAACACACCCCACAATAACATCTCATAACATTTCAATAGATTGAAGTGAAGAATTTTAAGTGGAATTTATATTTATTTATATTTTGTAAGATGTGGGCAAATGTAACTTGTTATAGGAGACACAAAATCTTTTTTATTTTTATTATTATGCTAATTGCAGTTTACATTGATTTATAAAAAAAATATTACAGGAGACATTATATATTTTGTTTGCATTAATTATAGTTTATTAATATATGAAAAAAATGCTTAAAAACTTTTTTTTTTCAAAATTATTAAAGAACAAATTATGAAATGTATTTTTATTGTTACTACTTGCCTTGGTAAACGTTACAACCACTGGATTCGAGCTCGAGCAACCGTACTGAACGGATCGGAGCGACTAGTAATTACAATAAAAGTGTTACATAAGTAATGTTTTATAATGGAGTATAAACCGTTCGAACCCGGCGGGGTATCAATACCTGTAGTGATAGATAAGGAATACAATAGCACGGAGGTCAAAACAGGCATCCAAATAGGCAAATCGATTAGTGTTATCAACAATGATGAAGTAATGGAAAGTGATTTTTCGGAAGAAAGTGACAGTGAATTTTTAGATACAACAGTTTTACCGAGCAATGTGGAAAATAATTCGCGGAGTGATAATAATACATCGATAAATCATGTGAATTTAAATAATATGAATGGTGATGACAATAAAGTTATGTTGCGAAAAAACAATAAAAGAAGCAAGAATAAAACTAGTTTAAAAACGGTTAATATACCCGAAGAGTTAATCAAGAAATTGATAAAATTGGATTCTAAAAAAGACAAAGTAACAACACTAAATGAAAATATGGAGGATAACCCAGGTTGCAGCAGCACTGGAAAAAGTAAAAGTTGGATAGAAATGATGGATGAAGAAAGTAATATGACAAATGAAGACAACACTAGAAATAATAAAATAAACGAAGTAATTAATTATTATGAACCATATGATGAAGGACCGTATACGGTTTTTGCAGAATCAACTAACGAAAGCATTGGCAGATTTCACAATCTAGCTTTAGGCAGATTGATATTCAAACAATCGCTTAACATAAGCAAAAATATCATAGATATCTCAAAGATCGGGAGAAACAAAATCAAATTAGTATTTAAAGACTACTTTTATGCTAATAAATTAATCAAAGAGAAAATTTTGGAAAAATTTAACATACGAACGTACATCCCAAGACATAAATTATACAGGACCGGCATTATTTTTAACGTTGAACCCGACATGGATGAGCAAGAAATCATGGATATTATTAGATCGGATATTAAAATATTAGAAGTCAAATGCATTAAAAAAAGAAACTTAGAAAAAATAAATATGAAATCACAAATGGTAAAAATAGTGTTCAGGGGTAACTATCTGCCAGAATACGTCTCAATGTATTCGGTTAGGTGTGCTGTCAGTCCTTACATTCAATCTGTAATGCAATGCCACAAATGCTGGCGTTATGGACATATAAAAAATTAATGCAAAAGCAAGATAAGATGCCGGTATTGTTCAGAAGAACACTCTCATGAAAATTGCCACATCGTGTCAGACTTTATATGTGCAGTATGCCATGGAAACCATCAAGCAAATGACAAAGAATGTAAATTCTTCAAAGTTAATAAAGAAATAAAAGAAATTATGGCACTACATAACATATCTTATCTTGAAGCTAAAAACAGGATGTGGAAAAAAGGATATGCTGAGGCTGCTAAGATCAATCCGTACAATCCGGGGTTTAATTCATCGTTTCCGAGACTAAATGGCAATACCGAAATGGATTCACACAGGCATAAAAATAAATATGAATTATTGAATAGTTTCGATGAAGAAGAAATTAACATTGATAAAGACAGATTAATGTTAATGAATAAACCAAGAAATATTATGTATAAACGTCGAACAGAATACTTGAAGCCGATCAATCGATTTAACAGAGACCAGATAACTGAAAAACCTGAAAAAAGAAACCAAGAACAACCAAGCCTAAACAGTAATAAGACCAATAAAAAGGAAGAAAATAAACGACAATTAAATCATTTTATAGAATTGGCATTGAAACTTCGAGAAAAAATTGAATGTGAGAGAAATAAAGAATGTAAAGAGATAGATGAAATTATATATAAGTTAAAATGGGATACACATACCATTATGAATTACTTAAACCAGAATAATAAAACAGGTATAGATAATCGTAATAAAGATGAAATACACAATAAAATAAGTGTAGTCAATTCTAACGAAAGTTAGAAGATATTGAAAAAATAATTATAACAAATACCAACCAAAGATGGATAATATAAATATTTTACAATTAAATTGTAGATCTTTAAGAGCAAATAAGGAAAGCATCAAAAATCTTATGTTTCATAAGAAAATTCATATGGCAGCTCTTACTGAAACATGGCTGAAACAGGGCCAATTAGTTAAATTCAAAGGGTATAAAATATTTCGACAGGACAGACAGGACGGCTACGGTGGTTCGGCCATATTGATCAAAAATAACATTCCGTGCGACGAATTCGCACATTCTCTAAGGAACCGAGACATGCAAATGACCGCGGTAATAATGAAATCGGCTACTCCGTTCTGTTTAGTTTCAATTTATTGCGCACCACAGGCAACAAAGGATCTATATCTAATCAATAATATCATAGAACAGATTCCTGTCAGAACAATTGTAACAGGAGATTTCAATAGCAAACATTTAGCTTGGGGTAATGAAATAATTGACAGAGGAGGAGCTATTATTTACGATATTATGGATAGCCTTAATCTGTTAATGCTGAATGACGGAACGCATATGACAACTCAAACGCCCAGTAAGAAATCAGCCGCCATCGACCTGACTTTCTGTTCACCTTCACTTCATGATAGACTTCATTGGAGCGTAATACCAGACAATGTAGGCTCTGACCATTTGCCTATATTAATAAAGATGCAATTCAAATGTAATACGAGAGTGGGATGGTATCCAGGCAGAAAATGGATGACTAAGGAGGCAAATTGGAATGAGTATAGATTAGATATCGAAGAGACTTTAGAGACATCATACATTCCAAATGATTCTGAAGATATGTACAATTTTATTCAAGAAACAATAAATAATGCAGCCACTAAGCACATCAAACAGTATAAATTACCAAGATCGGATACATTTAAACCGGCTTTATGGTGGGATAGTGAATGCGAAATTCAAGTTAGAAAAAGAAGAATAGCATTTAAGAGACTAAAAGCTCAATTCAACTACAAAAATTACCTGGAGCTCCAAAAATTACAGCACAGACTAGAAAACTATTTAAAACAAAAAAAGAGAAAAATGGCTTGAATTCGTGAATTCCATCAATAGAAATACAAACATTAATAAATTATGGAACATTGTAAAAAGATTAAATAATAAAAATAATGGCGAGTCCCCAATTCAGCAAATGAGTGATAATTTCTGTGAGACAATTTTGAAGATCCACACGCCTGACTTTGTACCTGGTCCCGTACAATACTCCCAAGACCAAGCAGAAGAAGCAAGTGATGACTACGCAATTCATGAAATCGAAGGACGCATTGATTATGAGGAGCTAGAACTGGCACTAAAAGACAAAAGAAACAGCTCTCCAAGATTTGATAACATCACATACATTATGATTAAAGAATGTCCCAAAGCATTCAAATGTATAATAGTTGAAATGTTCAATTTTATATTAAATTCAGGTTGGATCCCGGAAGATTGGAAAATTGCGGTGCTAGTGCCAATACTAAAACCGCAAAAAGATCCAAGTGATCATAAGTCCTATCGACCAATAATGCTTCTTCCTTGTCTCACGAAAATATTTAAAAGCGTTTTGAAAAAAAGATTAGAATGGTACATAGAGAAAAAGGGTATATTAAATAAATATCAATTCGGATTTAGGAGAGGAAAAGGTACAATCGACTTGTTAAGCGAGCTACTTGTAGATCTACATAGTGCATTGTCAGATAAAAAAGAAGTGCTACTAGTTACGGCAGATATTGAAAAGGCATATGATCATGTTGATCATAATATTCTCAAAAAGAAGCTACATAATTACAAGATCCCAGACAATATTATTATTATCATTATGTCACTGCTATCCAATAGAAAAATTTACGTGAGAAATAAGAATCGTCTAATAGGGCCAAGGACATCATATACGGGCATCCCACAAGGTTCGATTCTGAGCCCTCTCCTTTTTAACATCTATATGGCAGACTTTATATCGTCAGAAGGGACAAGAGTCAAAAAACTACAATATGCGGACGATCTGATTATGTACACAGTTTCTCACTCAGTAGAGCAGTGCAGAGCAGAAATGTCTAATGTCATATCAAAAGATTTGAAATGGATGCGGAATAATAGACTTGTTTTAGAACCGAGGAAGACCAAAAGCATAATTTTTACCAGGCATAGATTTCCCAAAAATATGCATGTAATAGATATTGACACGATAAGAATCGAAATATTAGAAAACATTAAAATCCTGGGTGTGACTTTTGATAAAAAATTAAATTTCAACAAGCACATAGGCGAGATATTATTCAAATGCGAGAAAGGGATTAATTTACTCAAAAGAGTATGTAACACCAGCTGGGGTACACACCCAAATGCATGTCTTTCTTTATACAAAGCTATCATTAGACCCCATTTCGACTATGGCTGTCAAATTTACGGAGGATTGTCCGCAGGCTTACATAAAAAGTTGAGTAGAGCGCAATTTGCAGCTATAAGAATATGTCTGGGATCTTTAAAATCAACCCCCACTAACTCTTTATTAGCTGAAGCCGGGGAAGCCCCCTTAGATATAAGAAAACAAGTACTAACGAATAGATTCTTGATAAAAAAAATCAATTTTGATCATTCATGGATTCAAAATCAGTTAGAGGCACTGGCAGTTCGGCATTTCAATAATAGGTACTGGTTTAATAAACCAATCCCTCCGCTAGTTGCTGGTTTCCATTCATTAAAGTCTTTAGAAGATAACATCATAATAAGCAACAGATTGGCGTACTACACAATGACTTGGAAACGATTCCCAAAAAATATATACACCTATCAGATGAGTTAGTCATTGGAAAGAATATGGATAAGAAAATAATCAATCTGGAATTGCACGCCTTATTGAACACTAGATGGGAAAAGTATATACATATCTATACGGACGGCTCAAAAACTGATGACGGCGTTGGCTGTGCTGTATACATACCAAGCCAGGATATACAGCTTCAAATTAAACTCCCAGATTGGGCATCAATATTTACTGCAGAATTGACGGCTATCAATAATGCGCTAGACCTAATTAAGGAACATAAATTAAAGAAGGCAATAATTCTTTCTGATAGCATGTCCTCACTGCATGCCTTAAATATGCCTAAAGATTATGGCAACCCATTAATATTCGACTGTTTACAAAAAATAGAAAAGCTAAACAACAATAACTACAAGATCGAATTAGTACGGATAAGAGGCCATTACAATATCACCGGGAATGAGATCGCGGATAGCTTGGCCAAAGAGGCACAAAAATCAGCCACTTTAATTAAAAAAGCTCCTGCCGTGGATCTGAAACGAAAGATCACAAAAATGGGGATGTTGAATTGGCAAAAAATATTTGATCTCGAATCAGCGTCAAAAGGAATATTATACCGACCGTGTAAACCGATAGTGTCCAGAAATACATGGTTTGAAAAATTGAAATGGAATAGAAAAGAGGTATCTACAATATGCAGATTAAGATTGGCGCACACGAAGAACAATGCTCATCTATTTAGGATTGGGATCAAACAAGACCCGTTCTGTTCGTGCAGCACTGTACTGGATACAATAGATCACATATTGTGGAGTTGCCCATTGTATGAAAGGTAACGAATAATTCTGTTTAAAAAGCTTCAACAACGGAATGTGAGATTTCCTATAAATGCTAGGTTTATCATAAGTAGTAATAACATAGATTTGTACAGAATACTGATAGACTTTGTAAATGAATCCAATATAAGGCTATAGAGTAGGATATTTTTAGGTTTATTTATTGTAACTATTCTTCATTGGTAGTGTGATATTTAATTTTAATTTTCTACTTAGTTTATAATTATATTTGTATTGTAATTTGTAATGGCTAGATGACTAAGGAGTCGAGGCCAGTTAATAAATAAATAAAAAAAAAAAAAAAAAAAAAAAAAAAAAAAAACGTTACGACCAGTCCGAAACATTGGGCAATTTTATTTGATTTGGTCGAGATATAGTTACAGTAACCATTCATTTTTATCATTATTAAAAGTAATTTTAAAGCTTATTTTAACACTTCGCCGTCCGCACGTCTCGTAAAAATTTCTTCGCTTGGCGCCGAAATTCGTATTACTTTCCTTGTCGTTGACCATTCTAGATATTAATTTTAAAAATTATTATTTATAAAATTATAAATTTTTAGGGCTTACTAATGTTGACGGGTATAATTTTTTGTTGCCTGAATAAAACACTAACAGAATAGAAAGATTTCTGCCACTGCCACGATTTGTGCCCATGGCACCAATATATACATATATATATATATATATATATATATATATATATATATATATATTACGACCTCACGGTGTTATTAGCTCAGGTCCCCAAAATATGTGCTTTGCGTTATAATCACCTTCTGCAATGAACAAATTACCAAGACTGCCAAAAATGCTGAAATCTGATTTTTTGAAATTTCGTGTTTTAGCGGATAGTAGATTATTACCGATAGTGTAGTTTAAAAGTCAATTCAAATGTTTGTAGATTATAGGTAGTCAGTGTAAAATGGTTTTTGCTCATGTTGTTGGATGTTTGACTTAATAATAATGGCAGCAATTCTACCATGAGGACTGTCGTCTGGGTGGTTTGTAATGTTTATGTCATAATTTGTAGTATAATTTCTATGTCATTGATCAATAAAACATGCTTTAGCTGTTTGAATTTCATAATCAATGTCTTAGTTGCAAAGACATGATTATGTTTTATTAGTTAAAATAATCGGCAGTAAATTAAGTATGGTTCTGTCATTTGTCCTTTCAATGATTTAATGAACGTCAGTAGATAAAGTTGTATTGTAAGATGTATTGGAGTAAGTGATATGCCAATCCATTTCAAATAAATTAAGTTTGGCTGGCACTTGTAATGACTGTATTCGCCAGAAACTCACACACGCTCATATATATATGCATGCATAATTGATATACAAAGAAATAAATGACCATAAATAATTTCTTCC